GGTCTTTTTCTTTCTTTTTTTTTCGGAAGGCCGTCTTCACAAAATTCATATAAGAATAGAGGGGATGTTTGTATATCTACCAGCCAAATATACTGTATTTGTGAATGCATAGGGGCCACACCCACGTGAGAAAACAACAGGAGCGAGACACAACACGAATTGTGTCTCGCAGAGGCCAATCTTACGGGGACCACGAGGCTCTGTTTCTCTTCCTATAAATAGGAAGAGACGGTCCTAAGGTTTTTTAGGAGAGGAGGAAATAGAGGGTTTTGATGGCTACAAAAGATAGAGTTTTTCAGATCTAAAAATGTGAGATCTTGAGGAGAGAAAAAGAGAGAGCTTGGAGGAATTTTACAAGAGAGAGGTTAAATTTTTTGGGTAAAAATCAAAGCTTCTTCTTTGGGACGAGCTTGTGGATGTACAAGTCGTCGGTGTTTTCCTTCATAGTGGAATCTCCCCTTCCCCGTGGACGTAGGCAATTTTGTCAAACCACGTAAATCTCGTGTCTTTACTTTTTCTGGGTGTTGGTTATTGCTTGTAGGTTCCCTCGACAAGTCAGTCCTAGAACTGATGAGAGGAAGATTATATATTTCACTTTGTTGAGATATTTCACTTTCTGTTCTTGCTTCCTTAGTAAACCAAGAATATAGAGGTTGACTTGAGCTTTTGTGACAACAAAAGCCTGAGCTTTCTCTCTGATTATATCGCTTCCGTGATGTGAGTGCGTGACTCTACCCCCAACATCGGTATCAGAGCCTTTTATTCAGATTAGAGGTGATAAAATTTCTGATATAAGTTGGTGCTTGATTATTGTGTGGTAAATACAAGTTATTTGTTGGAATTCCTAAGAGAAGCGGATTTATTAATACAAGCGGAGAATGATGTCAAAAAGTAAAACAGTTAAAGTTAAAAAGTACGAGATCGAAAAATTCAATGGAAAGAATAATTTTTCCTATTGGAGGATGCAGATGAAAAACTCGTTGATTTCGAGAAATTTCATAAGGCTTTGGTTGGAAAGGAGAAGAAGCACAATAATATGTCTGATGAGGATTGTGAGGAGCTAGATCTGGAAACACAGGCGTCGATTATTCTATGTCTCGAGAGGGATGTAGCTTTCTTGGTAGATGGAGAGGAAACGACTGCGGACGTGTGGTCAAAGTTAGAGAGCACCTTCATGACGAAGAGTCTAATGAACCGGATCTATTTAAAATCCAAATTGTATACTTGCAAGATGGAGGAGGACACATCAATCCGAAAATACATCAACAAGTTCGATAGGATGATATCGGATCTGAAGGACATCGATGTGACTATAGAAGATGAGGATCATGATCTTCTACTACTTCTATCTCTATAGAAGTCTTATAAGAATTTGGTGCAAATACTGATGCTTATGGGTGACAATTTGACGATGAATGAGACTAAAACGACGCTTCTAGCGGATAACCTTCAGAAGATTATAACCAGTAACATGACTACTGGTGGTAACAAGAAACATGCACATGGATTGTTTGCTAGAGGAAGGAGCAATGAGCGAGGAAAAGTTAAGGAAGGAAAGTCTAGATCTAAATCAAGACCTCTTACGGGAAGATCATGTTTCAAATACGATAAAGTTGGGTATTTTAAGGTCGACTGTCCAAATAAGAGAGTAGGTAGGAAGAAGAACAATAATAAGACTGAGAGGAGAGAAGGCAAAGAAGAAACGAGCTATATTTCAGAGGAAAGGAGTAAAAAGGAATGCTATGTCGTCACGGGTAGCGAGGATATCTTCGGAAAGTGGATTCTTGATCCAGGTTGCTCTTACCACATGTGCCCAAATAGAAAGTGGTTTACTACCTACAGAAATATTGATGGTGGAACCATAGTGATGGTAAATAACTATGCTTGTAAAACAGTGGGGCTAGGTAATATCAAGATCAAGATGCATGATGGAGTGGTCCGAATCTTGACGAATGTGAGGCACGTTCCTGACTTGTGAAAGAATCTTATTTCAGTTGGTGCATTGGACTCCGCTGGTTACAGGATTGTTACAGAGAACAAAGTGAAGAAGGTTGTTCGGGTTCCCTAGTAGTGATGAAAGGTGTTCGTCACGATAATTTATACACTCTCTCAGGTACGACAGTGACGGGAGATGCAGCGATTAGAACTGAATGAAGTGGTGGAGACCCATGTAAGCACACACTATTATGACATAGGCAGCTTGGGCGCATGTCAGAGAAGGGTCTGGATCTACTTGGTAAGGAGGGTTTACTGAAGAATCTGAAGAAATATTACATAGATTTTTGTGAGGATTGTGTGTACGGGAAAGCGCACATGGTCAAATTTTTGAAAAACAATCACAAGAACAGAGGTTTATTAGACTATGTGCACACAGATGTGTGCGGTCCGGCTCAGACAACTTCCAAGCGTGGTTCCAGGTATTTTGTCTCGTTCATAGATGATCATTCGAGGTATGCTTGGATTTATTTTCTTAAGCATAAGAATAAGGTATTCGAGACATTTAAGAAGTGGAAGGCGATGATTGAAAATAGGACAGTAAAGAAATTAAAGACACTAAGATCTGACAGTAATATAAAATATACAGATGGTGTTTTCAAGGAGTTATGTGATCACGAGGGTATTGTTAGACACTAGACAGTCAGATCTATACCACAGCAAAATGGGACCGTGGAGAGGCTGAACCGAATATTACGGAAGAAAGCAATGAGTGTGATCTTATGCTGGATAGGACAAGAAATGGTGGGCAGAAGCTATGGCTACAGCTTGTTATATTATGAAACGTTCTTCACATTCTACATTGGATGGTGATACACCCTATAGGGTGTGGTCAGGGGAGCATGCAGATTATGAGAGATTTCGAATTTTTGGGTGTACCGTCTATTATCATGTCAACGAGGGAAAGCTTGACGTGAGGGCCAAGAAGGCTATATTCTTGGGATATACAAATGGTGTAAAAGGCTACCATTTTTTGTGTACAGAAAATTTAAAGTTCATGATCAGTAGGGATGTTATCTTTGATGAGAAATCTATGATTGCTAAGATGTCCAAGGATGATGGTGTTGGGACTGTTGGAACTTCAAAGTCCCAGCTTATTGAGATAGAACCTAAAGACCAACCAGGTTCTAGTCATGTTCAAGTGAAAAATCAGGTAGATGATGACAAGCACTACAACAATAACAGCTCGAGGATAGTTTGGCTTCCACTAGACCAAGGCGAGCATACAAGCAGATACTGAAACTGGGGGCTAATCAACCCCTGAAGCACTATGAGCAGATTAATTTGATGGAATACGCACTCTCGGTGAAGGAGATGAACCGGTCTCCTTCAAGGAAGCTATTCGAGATAGAGATAGTGATAGTTAGTCGGCTACGATGAAGGAGGAGATAAAATCTCCTTGGAAAAACCAAACATGAAAGGTGGTCTCATTGCCTGTAGGAAGAAAAGCTATTGCTTGTAAGTGGATATATAAGAGAAAGGAAGATCATTCAGAGCTCACTGGTATAAGGTACAAGACGGGGCTAGTGGCTAAAGGGTTTGTATAAAGAGAGGGTGTGTATTACAATGAGATATTTTCTCTGGTGGTAAAACACACTTCTATTCGGGTGCTATTGAGTATTGTTACTCATGATGATCTTGAGCTAGCATAACTCAATGTAAAGACGACCTTCTTGTACGGAGACTTAGATGAAGAGATCTACATATATCAACCTGAGGGCTACAAGGTTGAGGATAAGGAGCATCATGTATGTGACTTGAGGAAGTCACTCTATGGACTGAAACCATCTCCTCAGCAGTGGTACAAGCGATTTGACTCATTCATGCTGAAGCATGAGTTTTCCCAAAGCGATTATGATTGTCATGTTTACATTCGGAAGTTTTGTGGAGGTGATTATATCTATCTCCTTTTGTATGTGGATGACATGTTTATTGCTTCGAAGAGCAGGATGGAGATAGATAAGTTGAAATCTTAATTTGGTAAAGGTTCGAGATGAAGGACATGGGCACTGCAAAGAAAATACTGGGTATGGAGATTAGGAGAGAGCGGGCGAATCAGCGATTATTCTTGAGTCAGAAAGGCTACATAGAACGGATGATTGCGAGGTTCGGGATGCAAAGTGCTAAGTCGGTGGTGACTCCATTGGCTCCACACTTCATGCTTTCAGGTAAATAATCTCCCACTACAGCAGAAGAGAAGGCACACATAGAGCGTGTACCTTATGTTAGTACAATTGGCAGCTTGATGTACGTAATGGTGTGTACACGCACAGATATTTTACAGGCGGTCAATGTCGTTAATAAATTCACGACGAATTCGGAAAAGGCGCATTGGGAAACAGTAAAGTGGGTCCTGAGGTACTTGAAGGGTACCGTTGATATGGGTCTGTGTTTTGATGAAGATACATGTCAGATTGATGGGTTTGTAGACTCAGATTATGTGGGTGATCTAGATAGATAACGATCTACTATTGGTTATGTATTCAGGATACATGGGGTTCCAGTTAGTTGACGATCGATGTTATAGGCTACAGTGATACTTTCTACTACAGAGGCCGAGTACATGGTCATGACGGAGGGAGTGAAGGAAGTATTATGGTTGTGGGGTCTTCTAGATGATTTGGGGATTGAGCAGGAGAGCGTGAACTTGTGGTGCGACAGTCAGAGTGCGATTCACTTGGCGAAGAATCAAGTTCATTATGTTCGTACCAAGCATATCGATATCAGATATCATTTTGTGCGGAATATCATAGAGGAATGTAATATTTCTCTCATGAAGGTGCACACAAATGAGAATTCAACAAACATGTTAATCAAGGTGGTGACAAGTAGCAAGTTTAAGCATTGCTTAGACTTGCTTCATATCAGCCCGTGTTGAACAGTCCAAGAGGGCATGGCCCTTCGGGGCGGTGATAGGGTAAGGTGGAGACTATATGAAGAATAAATTTCTGAACTACGGTTATCTTGATCCAGGTGGATGATACGTAGGCAGTCACGGTATAGTGGCGCAGCTGGTTTGGTCTGGTTTGGTGTTTCAGATCTCTCTGGTGATATTCGCGGTGTTCTTCTAGTGTTCGTCCAAAATTTAAGGTTTATCAAATGATGTACGAAGTAGAGAATTGTGAACGCGTGGGGGCCACACCCACGTGAGAAAACAACAGGAGTGAGACACAAATTTGTGTCTCGCAGAGGCCAATCTCGCTGGGGCGACGAGGATCTGTTTCTCTTCCTATAAATAGGAAGAGACGGTTCTAGGGTTTTTTAGGAGAGGAGGAAATAGAGGGTTTTGACGGCTACAAAAGATAGATTTTTTCAGATCTAAAAAGGTGAGATCTTGAGGAGAGAAAAAGAGAGAGCTTGGAGGAATTTTACAAGAGAGAGATCAATTTTTTTTGGGTAAAAATCAAAGCTTCTTCTTTGGGACGAGCTTGTGGTTGTACAAGTCGGCGGTGTTCTCCTTCATAGTGGAATCTCCCCTCTTCCTTCCCTGTGGACGTAGGCAATTTTACCGAACCACGTAAATCTCGTGTCTTTACTTGTTTTCTGGTGTTGGCTATTGCTTGTAGGTTTCCTCGACAAGTCAGTCCTAGAACTGATGAGAGGAAGAGTGTATATTTTACTTTGTTGAGATATTTCACTTTCTGTTCATGTTTCCTTAGTGAAACAAGAATATAGAGGTTGACTTGAGCTTTTGTGACAACAAAAGCCAGGGATTTCTCTCTGGTTATATCACTACCGTGGCGTGAGAACGTGACTCTGCGCCCAACAATATTTTAAAGTTACCCACCTCGTCTTGATGTTTCTAAGAATACCTCCCAAATCTAGATCTTAGGATAAATGTACCCCTTTCTAAATGTCTTTTTATATATTGGGGAATTTACCGGGTTTATTCTACGAGGGATATATTTGTATTAAGCTGGATATTTTTTGGGGTTATTTTTAGAAATATACATAC